CCCCTTTGGGACCCAGGTGACCCCTTCATAGGGGTCACTTATCAAATATCCTGTATTTTGGATATTTACAATATGATTCACAACAGTGGCAAAATTAAAATATGAAATAGCAAAAAATAATAATTTTATAAATTTATTTTGACCCAAACATATATAACTGTATACACATTTATATATTCATATTGTATAGAACATATATACTATAGAGTGCACATATAACCAAATAGCACATGAGTTTAGGGATCTCATTTGACAAACATAAAAATAATCAGTTAAGACGTTATTATATTCATTCTTTTTAAATCTACATGACTTCTATCATTCACTTCAAGCTTTGTTATTAAAGTATACAGAAACTTTGTACCTAGAAGAATATTCTTGCCTTAGAAGACACTTATATAGTGTTACTTAACTATAAATATTGCTTGCTCACAGGAGCAGGATTACTGACTAGCAGAATAGTTAACTAGTAACATCCCCAAATCCTTTACCATGATGTAAATGTAGACATTCAGACTATTTGGTTGGGGCTTTAAGGGTAAAAATGTGATCATTTAGATTGATGACTAATTTTTTCATAAACTCTTTGTGAGACTGAAATAATTATAAATATTACTCATGTTCTTATACATGAAAATTTTAAATCATCTACTATAGAATTATAATTTTAATAATAAATTTGGTCAGTAGCATTAAGTGATTTTGTGTTTCACAGAAATGTTAGCAATTTAAATAAAAATTTTAGCTTTTATTTCCACTTAAAGTTTCTCATCTCAGGAACTCATTTTATCTTTTTTAAGGCTCAATATTAAAGGATTGACTCATGATAAATAATCACACATACGGATATCAGTGTAACAGGAAAAAATAATATTGGAAAAAGGTCTTGGGTTTCTTCTTCCTGCTAGGGTAGGAGTGTTCATCTCTGCCTCCTCTCTCTCTCTCTCTCTCTCTCTCTCTCTCTCTCTCTCTCTCTCTCTCTCTCTCTCTCTCTCTCTCTCCCCCACCCTGGAGTATGTGTGTGTTCCTATCATTGTGACATATGCTTAGATAACACTAAGGGAAGGTTGTGACAAGTGACTTTCACTGTTATCTATTGGTCCTATTAACACACACACACACACACACACACACACACTGGTGGTGGCTTTATGAAGTTCAGTCCTATTGTAATGAATTCTGCCTATCTAGGTTATGATTAGTTATGATAACTTCTTCTCTCCTGCTACCTGATGGTATAATTAACATGGAACCTGTCTCCTCCATTTCAGTGAGGCGACATGTCCCTTTTTCAAGCAGCATTTCACATCTTGAGGAGAGGAAATTAAGCAGCCTATTAGGACTGGTGTTTCTATTCCAGTTACTTAGTAGTCATCCACGGCAGTTTGTCTTTTGCTGCCTGTCTTGCCCTGGATATGTGTGTAGGAGTTTTTTTCCAGCATAAGTAAAAATTGTGCCTTCTTGATACCAGGCTCCAAGTATTGTTTCTTTCACATAGGAAGTCATTCCTTGTACAGATGCTCTGAAAATTCCTGCTGCTTCTGCCTACTTCTGGATTCCAGAGCCACTTGGACCCAGTTTCTCCCCTGTTTATTCCTTTGTGCTTTTGTTTGTTTGTTATTTTTAATGTTTCAGGTTCCTAGAGTTTTTTGACTCCCTCTGACCATGGCTTCATCTTTCCAGTCATTTCTTGTTATGGTTAGCTGGTCACTGCTCTTCCCTTTGAACAGGAAAAGTCTTCAGCACATCATTTTGCAACACTGTTTTTACTTGAAGTTCTCCAGTTTTGTCTGAACTGACTTTCCTCGTTTGCATTTCTAAAATAGCTGCTTAAAGTAAAGGCTCAAGTGACCGTGTTTATCTAAATACAATCAGGAGTCTGCATCTTTTGAGTTTAGCCTAAGAAATTGTATCTCTCTCCATCAGAACCTTCTATTTATAAACTAGCACTGTTCTGCAAGAGATGCCCTACATAAATCATTCATTTCTTCTTGGTTCTAGTTGCTTCACGAGACTAATTCTATCAAAGAGTATATTAAATATGACTTTACAATCTTAGATTTTTCATATATATACATGAGAATCTATATGAATTTCATATATATATGCATATGTGTGTATACACAGACACAGACACACACACACACACACACCCCTTGATTTTGATTTCTTCCTAGTCTCCAGAAACTCACATAGCAAAGTCAAGGATCCTTATTTTTCCTGATTCCCTTTTGAATCATGTAGCATGATGATGTTTATGGACATTTGAGTGTTGAAAGAGGAGAGAATTAAAAGTAAAAACTCTGTAAATCTTTCCAGAAAATGAATAGCTTTAATATGGTTTGTGTGTGCATGTGTGTATTTCTGTGTGCTTGGGTGCCTGTATGTCTCTGTGTGTGTGTTTGTGTTGGTGTTTGTTTGGGTCTGTATGTGTATCTGTGTGTGTCTCTATGTCTCTGTGTGTGTGTGTTTCTGTTTGTCTATGTGTGTGTGTGTTGGTGTGTGTCTGGGTGTGTATATGAATCTGTGTGTGTGCCTATGTCTATGTGTGTGTCTAGGAATGTCTATGTGTCTATGCATGTCTGTCTCTGTATCTATGTGTGTGTTTATCTGTGCGTGTCTGTATGTGTATGTGTTTTTGCATGACTGTGTCTGTATATGTTGTGTCTGTTTGTGTCTGTCTATGAGTGAGTCTGTGTCTATGTGTGTATGTGTGTCAGTGTGTTTAGGTGTGTGTGTGTGTCTGCATGAGTGAATGATTAAATTGTCCAAAAAGGGACATCAGATCTCTTAGAGCTAGAGTTATAGGAATATGTGAGTCACCAGACATCAGTGCTAGGATATAAACTCTGGTCCTTAGAACAGGGTATCACATGCTCTTAACTGCAGAGAGATCGCTAGCCATCAAATTTTGTAGTTTTTAATTATGATTAACCATTCAGAAAGCTTCTCATCAATTAAAAATTTATTTTGTTCAATTGTACCCAAAAGTAATGTTATTTTTCTGATTACTGAGCAAGTTTAACAATATTTGAATACAAGTATCTCTTTGCATATTTTATTGGAGATCCAGTATTCCTGAAAATTGCTGAAGTTGGCCGTGGAGCTCACAGTTTGTAGCCTGGAAGAGAACATGTGGTCACTATAAATGTCATGATGATGTTACCGAGAGCTGGCAAAACTTGAATGTGCTTTTATGGGTCTCCTTTGTTGGTGACAACTTCCATGGTAAAAATTATTAGGAACATGGTGTTTGTCTTTATTCTTCTTGTAAATGTGTCCTATGAGCAGACACTGGGAGTTTATATAAGGTGTTAGGAGGGCAGGAGGATTATTGTCCCCAATCCAACAGCAACCTAGGAAGGAAAATAAATGAATCATCAGTGAATATTTTTAAAATCTATAACATGTTTTTGAATATCTTAACTTCTGTATGTGTCCCTTTGGCTTGAAGCTTATTTAATTTTAATTCTTTACTTTCAAGATGGAGATCTAGGACTGAGGTTTCTTTTTTTTTTGTTCCATCTTTGCTTCTTCAACAATGGGAATTTTGTCACCATAACAACAAAACCAATGAAAGTCTTATTTAATTATATAATGAAGATAGTTCTTACTGGAAAGATATGCTTTTAATGTGTCTTATGATAGAGTAGGAAATGTGCAAAGTGAATAATTAGAGCTCATTTGGAGGTTAAAAATGTTAGATTAGACACTAGCTCAAATACAGAAAAGCCCTAGATCATAAGTCCAATGCTGACTGATGTGATCAGTTAGCATTACAACCTGCCACTGTGCTAGCATTGCTACAGTGGATTATCATGAAAAGGTGATAGCAAAAGCTTCCTCACTGACACATTGAAGCTTTCCAGTGTTGTTATGTTATGTACTCATATCTAGAAAGAAACTCGTTTGCTTCCTGTAGCTAGCTCTGGGTAACTGCATGGCACATCCAGCTCTGTCTGTGCCTCTATTGAATCTGTAGATTGCTTTTTGTAAGATGGACATTTTTTTGTGGTATTAATCCTACCAATCCATGAACATGGTGGAGCTTTCCAGATTCTGACATTTTTTTAAAAATTTTTCTTCCGCATCTTAAAGTTTTTATCATACAAGTCTTTCACTTGCTTGGTTATCATTATTCCAAGATGTTTCATATTATTTGTGGCTATTGAAAAAGGTGTTATTTCCCTGATTTCTTTCTCAGTCCATTTGTCATTTGTATATAGGAGGGCTACTGATTTTCTCAGGTTAATTTTGCATTCAGCCACGTAAGTTGTTGATATTCATAGACAAATTCCTCATTCAGTTCTGGACTATTAGATTAGTTGTTTGGTTTGGAGACTAACATGAAGAATAGGAAAGGATCAATAGGTCAAGAATCCAAGACAGAAGCTAATAAAGTGAGGAGGAAAGACTCTCAACTCCAAACAGGCCTCTGTGGAATGGTAGACGTGGTGATGCCCAGCCTCCTAATTCCTCTTTGTCTAGCCTGTGAGAAGGGTCTGAACATTCCCACGAGAAAGGCTTGGCAGTTGCTGGCTCTGTATAGAGCCCAGTGGAAGGGGAACTGTTGCCCTCTTAGGAGTCATGGAGATTAAGCTGACAGTGAAATCAGGGCTTGTCTGTGACAACTTTGAAGACCTTGAACAGCAATATCCTAACGTTGTTGGTAAAATGTGGGAAAATAGATTACAACAGAAAGATGTGCATGACTTGACACAGTCATGGCTGAGTCATATCCCTGATGTCCTCTCCGGATGCTGAATGCTGGCAATCTGGGTTGTCACGTATAGGGTTTTCCCTTGTGTTTTTTTGGGGAAAATAATCTCTCAGGGCACATCTTACCTGTCTCCCTATCCTTCTCAGACCTACCTCATAGGTGTTATACAGGCATGTGGCAATTGTTTAAGATGTTTCCATATATGTTTTTGAAAATATTAGCATGTAGTTATAAGGAATACAGTTACATTTCTAATGAGTTATGTCAACTTCTCTTTCAGAAATTGATGAGAAGAGGGTGACTAACACACCAGAAGTAAGTTTCCCTATGTTTTGTATACATGTGTTAGAACACAACTGTAGAAATATTACAGTGCTGCTTTGTTTTTTCCTTATTCTGAGATCAAATCCAAGATCTTATACACAGGCACATTCTCCACTGAGCTAAATGCTCATCTCATCATAGTCTTTGAAATAGAATTCTTTGGCATGAGTCTACATTTGTATTAACTGTGTGGGTGATAATGGCATAGATAACGTAAACAAATGACCTACATAATGCTATAGACAGTACTTAGGTTGCTTTTTCCAATGGGCAGTAAAGCAGTATGACAAAAATCCCTGCCTCTCCATTACCTTGCTTCTTGTTGAAACTCTAAGCCCTGCAAAATTTCTAAATTAAAACATTGACTTTAGTGGTAAGATATGTAACTGACAGTTTTAATTTTCTGAGTGATTATATGTGAAAATGATAAGTAGTTCTAGGCAACATGGAAATTCAGGAGTAAATAAACAGAGGTAGTGCTAAGCACACTTTAAAAGGTCTGTAGCAATTTAGAGCCCAAGTGAGCTCTTGTCTTAGTTAGGGTTTCCATTATCAGCATGGTAGAAAGCAGGGCAGCATCCAGGCAGGCACGGTGCTGGAAGAGCTGAGAGTTCTACCTCTTGTTCTGAAGGCAAACAGAAGACTGGCATCTTCAGGCAGCTAGGAGGAAGCTCTCAAAGCCCACTCCCACAGTGACACACTTCCTCTAACAAGGCCACTCCTCCAAATAGTGTTACTCCCTTAGACAAGCATATTCAAACCACCACAGTCTCATAGCTGAAGTCCAGGTAAAATGAGTTCCTCTGGAGTCTTGTTAAACCAGAACTTATGAGTTCACCAAATGCTGTGTTCAAATGAAAATTCAGTGCCAGTCTGAACCTTGTACAGCTCTCAACTTGTTCATGTCTATATTCAGATAGAAAGTAGGAGGCAAGGGAGACTTGGGATCTGATAGAGTATATAAAATATGAAGAATTATAGAAATCCAGTAATAGAACATAGAAAGAATGAATGGGCTGTGGGTATAAGCAGTTTCAATGATCATGAGTAAACATACGACACCCATAGAAGAAATTCTAGAAATTGCAAAATACTGATTCACATTTCGTACAGCCTTAAACAATTTACCGAGAAAGTAAGAGCAAAATAGCTTTGAAAACTAAGGACTTATGTAAAGTAGCTTTCATTACGTTTCACCATTATCCTACTAAGAGACAACATATCATCGCTGTAGAATTAACATTCTACTTATCTTAGAGAGTGTATATGGAAAAAGATACATGAAATCCCAGAGGTAGTGGTTGTTACTGAAGATCAGCCCAACATGACTGAAGCAAGAATGGGGCCTCAGAGTTATCAATCACCCATGCAGTTAGTGTTAATGCAGACTGCTCCCAAAGAGCTCCTGTGTGAGAGCCTGGGTTTCATTCTCAGTAAAAGGGGGAAAACATGCTCATGCGCTAAGCATTTGACAAGTATCTGTTTCAATTTTCTTACCTTTAATTTGATAGCTTTACTTTACATCAGTAAATAATCAATATCATTTGGATGACGATTTTAAGTACAATTTAGCTCGCACAAATGTGCCTCTGGTCAAGTTAAAACTTCAAAAAATAATTTCTACTTCCTTTAAAATTCTACACCTCTAATTCTTTCTTATATGCATGGAAACATAATACCACCCCTAAAATATATCTTGTAACTATTTATACTTCAGTTTTGCTCAGCAAAGATCACTTCAGACACTGGAATTCATTGATTAGGGCCTTTTCATTCATCACATTAAAATATGATTTTATATATGTACATGTATGCATACATATATGCGTATATATATATATGTTTATATAATTTTTCCTTTTGACACAAAATCTCAAGTAGCCCAGGCTGAGCTCAGTGTCACTAAATGGTAGTTGTTGGCTTTGAACTTCTGACCCTCCTTCTTCCATATCTCTAGTAGTAGGATTACAGACATATGCAGCTATACTCTATTTTATGACACGATGGAGATCAAATGCAAGGCTTCATGCATGCTATGCAACACTACATTTCTATCATTTCAATAAACACATTGTTAAAATAAAGTCACTTGAACACAATATGATTGATGAATGAACTATATAAATAATAAATATTCATATTATAGACATGATTCTACATGATCATAGAATGGTGGTTTTGACTCCAAAGTGTGTTCTTATTTTTATCATTTTAAAAATAAAACTTGATCTGGGGTGTTTAGGTGATGATGCTGTGTAGCAGTTTTGGTAAGAAAGGACTTAGCTTTTGCACAAACAAAAGAATATGTGGCCTTAGCATTTTCATTCTGAATAAAAGCAGAGTTTAGATTGAATGTGGCAACTTAAGATTGCTTTTATGAATGAAGGACTCAAATTATTTTGGAACCCTCATTAACTGCAGAGTCAGATAATATATGTATATGTGTTTATATATTGTATATGTGTATATATTATGTGTTTGTCTCTATATATACATGAAATATACTTTGTATCAGAGCATATATTTTTGCAATTGAATTTATATTCTTTTATTTCCTTAAAATAAACTAATCTGGGGGCAAGCAACATGGCTCAATAGGTTAAGGCACTTGCCACCAAGTCTGACACCTCAAGTTTGATCTTCAGGACCTACATTGTAGAAGGTAGGAAGCAACTCTATAAATTGTCTTCTGACCTACACACATGCACCATGAAGTGTGTTCACCCACAAACATACACACACAACAAATACATAAACAAGTGTAATAAAATCACATACACTCTGAATCTAATGCTAATAACGAAATTTTAAAAAAATAAAAAAAATCATAACATTTGTGAATTCTATGATGAAACATACCCTCTGGTTTATGTAGCTTGGAGGTCTGTGGTATCACTGACCATATCAATAATTGATTACAGCTATAGCACTACTTCTAGACAGGGAAACATCACACAGCCCTTTGAGATACAGTGCAGTTTTTGTCTATTTCACAGGTCTGGCAGCAATGTACTTTTAATGCACGTCTAATGCTTTCGATTTCCTTGTCCACAGTCGCAGAATGCATCCCCTAAGCAAAGGAAGCAGAGTGTGTACACGCCACCGGCCATAAAAGGTACTGCCAGGTACCGTTTTGGGGTGTCGTGAGTGATGGGTGTCAGGACTGCCAGGCTGTTCGTCTGCTGATCATATATGCTTGTCTCAGCTTTGCTTCCAGCAGCGGGGTGGAGGTGGGGAAGACTTTCCCTCTCTGAAGCTTTGTTTCATTGTGAAAGAAACAGACAGTTGAAGGACTGGTAACTTGGAGAGTCTCAGAATCTTAGAATGGGGGAAAAAATCAAATTTCAAAGTAACGACAAAGATTTTTTCTTTTACCTTTATTTATATTTTTCCTTCGAAAGAATATCCCCCGAATCTCTAATTGTCCTTGTTGATTGGCACATGATTATTAGTTTGTTTACCCTTAACTCAACCAGAGCAGAAGCGCTTCGGCTAGGTAGAAATGTATTGTCAAGAGTCATCTCGTTGTCTCCTGTCAGGACCAGATCTACTGAACCCAATCGAGCACCAATTTGCTGTACTCCTAACAGCTGTCCAGAACACATCAGAGAATGCTGGCTCAGAGGCTGGCATTTCCCCAGAACTTCTCCTCAAAATTAGAACTGCCAAGTAACATTTAAGTGTATCAGTATTTTGACAAATACTAGTTCCAAGAAAGGCTTCTTTTCTTTTTCACACAAAAATGTTCCTGACACAAGGCAGTGACTGTTCAGGCCAGTATCTCCCATTCCAGCTCGGCTCCCTGGTTCTTGGCTCAGGGTTCATCACACTGCCCTTCAGCTCTGATTCATTGTGGAAGAAACCAGTGGGGAAGCTTAGAGGTCCAAACCAGAGCTAGAACTTCCTCTTTTTATTCTCTTTTCAGGGAGGTGGGATATAAATGGACACATAGCTACTTTCAGTAAACTTCTGTCCTGTGCAGTTAAAAAAGGCTGTGTCTGTTTGTAGAAAGAAGAGTAAATAATGCATCCATCTGTGTTGTAGTTTATCCCAAGGCAATTATTGAATTCCTAGGTTTCACTGTCTAAAGATCAGTATGGGGCTTTCAAGATAGTTCTTCATTATAAGTGGTTTGTATTTTTCAAGACACATCAGTTTTGGCATGAATGGACAACAATGAAGATGTATGTGCAGTTGCTCAATTATTTCCTCTGTTCTATTTTGGGTTGGCTTAAGCTAAATAAAGTAGTACTGTCCTCATGTCCTCAGAGAATAACTATATTATTTTGAAAGGAAAAACTTAAACTCAAAGGCCTAAGGGGCCATGGCGTTCATTATTTTTAGCTTTCAAATATCCTAAGAATGTGGGACGTTAGCATTCAGAGAAGCTCGTTGTATTGAAGCATTTTTAGAATAACTTTATACTGCAGAGTCTGGAGACTGTTCTTCAACAACCAGCATCTGCAGTAATGACTGAAAGGCTTAAGAAAGTTTAGCCATTTGTTCAAGAAGGCATCAAGTATTGATACAAATCAGTTAGTGAGTGTCTATGTGAGTTTTCAGCATACTATAAAAGAAAAAGCCAAATCAGAATACTTTTCTCAGTCTATCTCTTCCTAAGAGCTGGAAATACGTGTCTGAAAACCAGTGTAACCAACGGTATCATATGGTCTCTTGTGAGCACAGTGAGGAGGTTTAATCATAATAAAGATTGCTGAACAAAGAGAGTATTCTTGAGACACTAAACACACTAATGCAGTTGTCCCCAAATGAAAGTTTTTTGGACTGCAGTGGGATTTTGCAACAGGTGAGTGTAGAATGGTTTGCTGGGAGTGCAAAGTACCAACAGATGCAATCAACAGGAGTGAAGAAAAAATGTGCTCTGAGGCAAAGTCTACAGTGGTTTCATGAAGGAGCCAGTGACAGATTGGCTAGAATAACAAAGAAGGCAGAGCCTGTCTCCTTTTGATTGAGGAGTTATGGGTTAAGGAGAAAAGGTAGAAAGAGATGGTGAACTTCACTCTGCTCCTGCCCCCCACTAACTCACAGAGTCATTTACATTTTTTCTTTTGAAATTACTATAGTATAGACAGTCGGCTTTGAAAAAGCATACCCAGGTAACCTGTTTGTGTCGGGGAGGATTTCCTAGGAAGATGCAAAGGAGAAGAAATGAAACATAGCCTCGTATGTTATTTTACCAGGCAGTGTCTGGAGGGAGGTATTGATGACCCACAAGATCTCCAGTTTGCAACTAACTACTAAATTTCTTCACTTGGATGCTATCAGCCTTTGCAAACTTAATATGTCCTGAAACAAACCTATAAAGCTCTTTTCTGGATTTCTCCATCTTGGTTAAATTGTCTCTAGCTGTTCAGATAAAAAATCTTGCATAATCCTAATTGGTCTAGAGGTTTAAGGAAACAAAAAGTTGGGTAGGTCAGGAAGCAGAGCTGGATCCGGAAAGAGTTGCAGGAGTGGGGATGATTACGGTCAGTACTCCACTGTACTGTGTGAAGTTACCTAGCTTCTTTCTGGGCACTCTATTAGGTCATCTGCTGAGACTCCTTCAAGCATGGATTTATGGCCCTTGTTGTTACTGCTGTTCTGCTCCTTGCTACTATTTACATGAAAATTCAATATTAGACGCCTAAATATTTCAAGACTTCTTTCAGGTCTGTATCCCATCCTGATGCCAAACATAGCTGCCAATTAGTTTCTTTTCACACATTCTTTATTTCCTAAGAATATCCACTGTATGTAAATACATCTTTTGCCGGGTGGTGGTGGCACATGCCTGTAATCTCAACACTTGGGAGGCAGAGGCAGGCGGATTTCTGAGTTCGAGGCCAGCTTGGTCTACAGAGTGAGTTCCAGGACAGCCAGGGCTATACAGAGAAACCCTGTCTCGAAAAAAAAACAACAAAAAATAAAAAATAAATAAATAAATAAATAAAATAATAAATAAATAAATAAATACATCTTTTAAAATCAACTTATTATTTGGAGTGAAGACAGAACAGAAGACAAAGAGGCAGCTATGCCTGAAATTTCCTTCCTGCCCCCAAACTTAATCTCTTGGCATAATCTCCCTCTGATTAGCTTTTGCCAGCACCTAGCACCCATGTGTGTGTTTCAACAAATAGTAAACTGACCATGAGTCTAAAATTTCTGAACCTTGGTCATGTACAGATTTCCATATTCACCAATCATCTCTTACTGTATATTATGTCTTTTTTTTCCTCCAGCAAAATGGAAGTCAACACTGTCATTTCAATAGGATTTTCTGTCTTTAGAGCCAGGCTGTTAGACTAGCATATCCTAGTTTATCTCCTGATTCTATTTTTCACTCTAGTTTTGATGATCTCAGTGGTGGGCTATCCACAGAGAAAATAAATGTATCTTTCATATTCTTAATTCAAGTTCATTACAAATCTATCAAATAGAACAAACTGCAGACAGAGAGAGCACCCTGGAGCACATGTGTCTCTCTCTGGTTGACACTCATTTTGACCGACACAATTTAACAATTATCTACCAGACATGATAGGGTTTTATCCTATCAAACCACAAGTTCTCAATCACTCTTCACTGACAGGTTGTTGTGTTTTAGATATCCTGTGCTCACCATACATTTTATGACTATGGGGATTAATCATATATTTAAGACATATATTGTTCTTAAAAATGACAGAAGTTGACATTTTCATCGAAAATGTTTCTTTCCCCTTACCCTGTAATCTAGTGCTTTATGATCAGATAAGCAGAAAGTTCTGAAAATTATCATCAAACGGACAGCTGATGACTGGAGAGCCCTGTGCACTTTCCAGGTTTTTATTTATGTGGTGGTCAGTCTGCAATTTACAGAACAGCCAATTAAATTATTGTTGGATTGCTTGAATCTTGTTTTCAGAAAAGCAAAGTGAATTTGAATCCCAGCACAGGAAATGTCTGACTCATTTCCGTGCCGTGTGTGTGTGTGTGTGTGTGTGTGTGTGTGTGTGTGGTCTTCTACTGGAATTGAAATGTGTTCTACTACAAAGTGAGTGCTATTGATTTAGGTGGAAACTTGAACATTAACCAGAGGAGCAGATAGAGAATCCACTTAGTGTGACAGAGCCCATTAGTATTATATTTCTATTCTAAATGTTACTAAGTTATATGTTTCATTTACTTGGGAAGCAACCATTTTCTTCTCATCCTTTCTAATTTCTTGTAAAAGAAATTTTTAGTTGCTTCAGTGTCCTGTGGTTGTTCTTCTCAGTTGATGTATCGTGTAGACCTTCAGATGTATAAGGCATTATAACCCCTAAGCTTTTGTTTTGATTTCTTCCAAAGATAGCTGCAATCATAAATATTTAATCTTAATTTAGCCTCCTCTCACAAACAGAGCAATAAATGAAAATAAAATACAACTCAGTGTAGGGATTGAATGACCTAGTAGGAAGGCTAAAATAGTTTTAAGGGGCGGAACCAAAGATGTGGCAAGGGGTTTGGAGTATTCCTGGAGGATAATCCATCTTCTCTTCAGGTGATGCTGCTTGTCACACTGATTTCAGAGAGCACAACATGAATGCACAGCATTTTGAGTGATAATCATCAGGATTCATAGGTGAGCACCTACACTTGTGAGCTGTGCAACCTTCAGAAAATCAGGGTCAATCTTTTTTTTTTTTTTTTGCCTTCTCTTTTTGATGAAATGGAGATGATCTGCCATGAATTGCTAGGGAAAGTGAAGCAGAATGAAATTTGATACCTAAAATAGGCATATCATTCGTGGGTCCATTTTTAAGAGCTATTTGAGCCCTCAATGGAAAGTGAAATGTAACCATATCCATTTCTATCAAAGTCTTCATTCAGAGTTCAGCAGTGCGGTGATAGGAAAAACATAGCCAGGGACGGAAGAGCTGGAGAAAGGATGAAAACCCCCGCTGCACATCTATCTTCGCCCAGTGGGAATGAAGTCTGCTCTAAGGGTACCAGGTCCTACAGAGAATGAGTTCACACCTTTTGCAAGAGTGACTATGCTTTGATTTAGTTTAGCTACAGCCAAATTTAGAAACTTTTCTTTGACATTCTGGTTCCCTTTCCAAACAATCTGTAGCTCCACTTTACTCA